CTCTAAGGGATTGTCATGGAAAAATTAACACAGGGCTATGATCTCGGTGTCCTATCAGACTCCAATATGGGGTACATCAGGACCGCATAGAATCCGTTTAAAAGAATTTCTGAACATTTTTACTTAGAGGTCTTAACTGGGATGCAAATCTTCATCTTCCATCATTTAGTAGCAGACTCTTACTAATAAACTTACCAACCTTAACAAATCGTAGGACAATGCTGGGTGTAGTTTTTCTACATAACCTTATCAATGGTTATGTCGACAGCCAGCATTTACATACACGCTTAAATTTTAACATTCCTAATAGAAGGACTAGAAACTTTAGTTCTCTATTCCATAGCCATTTAAGTCCTTCAAGTACTTAAAATTAGCTTACTAACTCCTCTCAGCTTAACAAATATTAAATAGCTTAATAAATACTATTAAATCGTTTCTCGAGCGCCCCACTTCTGTGCCTCTGAGCTTTAAAAAGAATACAGGAATGCTAGATGTTGCTCTTATTGATGCACAAACCATTTCCAAAGTTGTGAAAGACGGCGAAAAAAATATCCGTCGATTTCTGTATACCTTATAAGGTCTCCAAACCTTCTTCCTGTTACTGATATTCACACAAATACAATATACCCTTGTATTTTTAGAGTACAGAATATACATATACTGTGTTTATGCGATGCCGAATTCACGCGTTTATTTCACGATTTCAGCCCATTCTTGTGCATAAACGTTATTTGACGAGTTTGGAAATGCACGAAAGTTGACTATGAATTCAGCCTCAAAGAATGAATTAATGATGCGCAATCAACTTAACGATATACCAATCAGGTGTCAACGCCGTGCATAATAATTAATGCATAAAAGTATTATTTTTGATAAATTTTCCGGTTTGTAATTGCCGATTGTGAAGGAAGAATTTAAGTTTATCCATCTCGTTGCTTGGTTTGTTTACTTTTGTAAAAGTCCGCCCAGATTAATATTCCAGACTAAACATAGTAATCTATATATTTTAAAATTTTGTACCCATACTCCTACAAAACGGCTATACCGATTCTCATGAAATTTTGTGAGCGTATTGAATGATTGTCAGTCATCGGGGCCATCTAAATTAAAACGTTTTTCAACAATAAAAACAACAGAACGCCAATCATGAGTGTTAGTTTGAACATTTCACGTCATGTATTATTTCTCGAATTGAAGCCTTTTTCTTTGCGTGTTGCATTCAGCGAAGGGTTTTTATACCCTTGCAGAGGGTATTATAATTTTGCCCAAAAGTGTGCAACGCAGTGAAGGAGACATCTCCGACCCTATAAAGTATATATATTCTTGATCAGGATCACCTCCTAAGTTGATATGAGCATGTCCGTCTGTCCGATTCTACGCAAACTAGTCTCTCAGTTTTAAAGCTATCGACTTGAAACTTTGCACACACCCTTCTTTCCTTTGCACGCAGTCTATAAGTCGGAACGACCGGGATCGGCCGACTATATCCTATAGCTGCCATTTAACTGATTGATCGGAAATGGTATAACTTTGGTGTTTTAAGAGTTAGAGTCAAAGAGTCAAATTTGACATGAGTGCTATTTTTGGCAAAACATTACGACATGCCAAATTTCATAAGGATCGGCCGACTATATCCTATAGCTGCCATATAACTGAACGATCGGAAATGACCCAACTTTCGTGTTTTTGAAGATAGAAAGCTGGAACTTGGTACAGATTCTATTCTATATTCCGGTTTTAATTGCAAGGGTATATCAACTTCGGCTCCGCCCGAAGTTAGCTTTCCTTTCTTTTTTTTTTTATTTTTAAACGGTTTAGGTATTCTGCATTTCTGATTGTACGCTGAACAGTTGAAAGGCTTGCTTTCCTTCGGCTAATTCCTTAATCTTGGCTGCAGACTTAGTCGAATTTTACGGAATTCTAACAATTTTGCGTACTGCTTGTTCAGATAGTGCTCTTTTTTTCCTTTGAAGTTTTTTTTCATATTCCTCTGGATCTTTTAAATATCTATCAACAGTCCCGGAGCTGCAATTTCTCTTTTTGGCAATATTTCGATTGGATAGTCCTTGCGAGTGAAAAAAGTCTACTTTTTGACTTTCTAGTAAGCTCATAACAACAGGTTTTCCCATTTTTATACCCTTGCAGAGAGTATTATAATTTTGGTCAAAAGTGTGCAACGCAGTGAAGGAGGCATCTCCGACCCTATAAAGTATATATATTCTTGATCAGGATCACCTCCTGAGTTGATATAAGCATGTCCGTCTGTCCGCCTGTCTGTCTGTTTCTACGCGAACTAGTCTCTTAGTTTTAAAGCTATCGACTTGAAACTTTGCACACATCCAGAAGGAAAGAATTCTTTTCCACGCAGTATATAAGTCGGAACGACCGGGATCGGCCGACTATATCCTATAGCTGCCATATAACTGGTTGATCAGAAATGTTTTAACTTCGTAGTTAGAGAGTTAGAGCTAGAGAGTTCAAATTTTACAAATTTTTTGGCAAAATAATACGACATGCGACAATTTCACAAGGGTCGGCGGACTATATCCTATAACTCCCATATAACTGAACGACCGGAAATGACCCAACTGTCGGGGTTTGGAAGATAGAAAGCTGGAACTTAGTACAGATTATATTTTTTCAGTTAATACGACCTACCAAATTTCATAACGATCAGACGACTATATCTTATAGCTGCCATATAACTGAACGATCGAAAATGGTATTTGGTAGAAATACCAATTTTGGTATTTTTGAAGATAGAAGCTTGGGACTTTTTATACCATTGCAAACGGTATTATAACTTTGTTCAAAAGTGTGCAACGCAGTGAAGGACACATCTCCGACCCTATATAGTATATATATTCTTGATCAGGATCACCTTCTGAGTTGATATGAGCATGTCCGTCTGTCTGTCCGTCTGTATGTCCGTCTGTGTGTCTGTCTGTCAGTTTCTACGCGAACTAGTCTCTCAGTTTTAAATCTATCGACTTGAAACTTTGCACACACCCTTCTTTCCTTTGCACGCAGTATATAAGTCGGAACGACCGGGTACGGCCGACTATATCCAATAGCTGTCATATAACTGATTGATTGGAAATGGAATAACTATGGTTTTTTTTGAGTTAGGGAGTTCAAATTTTACATGAGAGCTTTTTTTTGGCAAAATAATACGACATGCCAAAAATTTCATAAGGATCGGCCGACTATATCCTATAGCTGTCATATTACTGGAAATGACCTGAATGATCGGAAATGACCCAACATTCGTTTTTTTGAAGATAGAAAACTGAAACTTAGTATATTAGATTAGATTATTAGATATTAGATTAGAGATTATATTTTTGGTCAGTTAATCCGACCTACCAAATTTTATAACGATCGGCTGTCTATATATCTTATAGCTGTCATATGACTGAACGATCGGAAATGGTTTTTGGTAGAAATACTAACTTTGGTATTTTTGAAGATAGAAGTTTGGGACTTTTTTTTAGATTTTGTATTATAATAAATTGGGTTATATTATCATATGCCCATAAGGATCGGACAACTCCGATGGACCCGATGTTTGCGATATATATCCGGTTTTAACTGCAAGGGTATATCAAGTTCGGCTCCGCCCGAAGTTAGCTTTCCTTTCTTGTTACTTTAAATATAGCTCTTATTTGTTTATATTTGAAATTTTCTCAATGCAAAAAACTGCACTTTTTTACGCAAGAAAAAGAAATATAAAGTGCGTCTATTCTATTGACCAAGAAAAATTTGACTTGTTTTAAGTTGCTTGAAGAAAATTTTTAAAAACAAATCTTATGTTATATTTTTTTTATATTTAATATTATAATTGAAGTATTATTAAATAACCAAAGTTCTTGCATATTTACTTTTAGTCAATAATTATTAAAATAAAAAATATAAAACAAATTTGCTTGGAAAACTGAGTGCGTCTAACCCAAGACCAGCTGTGTATATATATGTAGATAAGTCTAGAACTGAGTAAATTTTTTACAGAAATTATAAAGTCATCTGGTGGCAAAACAACGTTTGACGGGTAAGGTAGTAGATAGACAGGGTGCCTAATACTATATTATATTATATTTGACAGAAGCGTTCAAAAAATATATTATTTTTACAGCAAGATTTAGAAAGTCACTTTAATTTTCGTTTTAAGGGGGGACATCTGAGTAGAGTTTTGAAAAAATCGAAAAATTTTTTTTTCGCTTAAAAAATTCTTTAGCGTCTTAAAAATAACATATCAAAAGATAGAGTCCGGCCAAAGTGTCTAAGTGTCGAAATTTTCCATTCTGCGGCGAGGCTCACAGATATATCCCACAGTACTTAAAACTTTAAACGCGTTTTTTCTCGAAACCGTTTATTTTGAGTTGGCCGAACATATAAATCGAACAACTCAACCTATCAATCTAAAATTTTGACAGTATACTCAGAATACCTATGTCAAGTTGTCAAAAAAAAATCAAGTTTGGTTAGTTTCTGTACATTAACGGCTATCGACACACGTAGGATTTTTTTATATTTCTTACTTTTTTTTTTATCAACAATTTTGTGACGTTTTTTGTTCGTGAAAATTGAAAATTTTTTTCAATCACTCACCATTATGGAAAAAATCAATATATCGAAAAAATCCTACGTGTGTCGATAGCCGTTGATGTACAGAAACTAACCAAACTTGATTTTTTGTTCTATATCAAAAGTTAAGGACGTTAGGTGTTCGGCCATGGACCCCTTCAAAAAAATAGGGCCTACGAATAAAGGCTGCAGAGCCGCCATTTTGTTTTCGATTTATTAAAAAAAAAAATTTATTTTGTATTTTAAATATAATATAATAAAACCGATTGGCTATAAAATTTTCGATTGGCTTTTTCATTTGGCCAAAAAAAAATTCCAGAAAAACCGCATTTTTTCGCCTGATACGCAGATGTCCCCCCTTAAATAAATAAAGGTAAAAAAATTTAAGTAGTTCATTTTATTTTTCTGTTTTATAGATATTCCAAAAGACACAAGGGCTTGTCCAGTTTTGAACAACGAAATGTCTGTACTATCAAAATATGTTGATCGGATTTCCGAAACATGTGAACACAATGGAGTAACAAAAAAAGCGTTTAGCTATGCTTTAGTTACCAGCGCTTTAGTTGCTCTTACAATTAAAGTCACTATTCCTTTCGTAAAAAATACGCAATCAAAAATATTAAAAAAGGGAAAAGGAAATTATAACGTTAAGACTCTAACGCCGTTGGAAATCAATAGTTCTGATGAAGATTTGAAGCTTGCAGAGGCGGAAAAATTACTAGTTGCTCAACAGCTAAAAAAAAAAAAAAATTCCATCGAGCCTGGGTTAAACCATGATTTTTTTAAGCAACTTGGTGTCTTGGGAAAAATAATGATTCCCCAGACATTGTGCTATGAAACTGGATTACTTAGCGTACACACCATTTGCTTGATTTCTCGGACATTTCTAAGTATCTATGTGGCGGCGTTGGAGGGAGCTCTTGTAAAATTTATAGTCCGAAAGGATGTTAAACAATTTTTATATGTCTTACTTAAATGGTTTGGAATTGCCATCCCAGCTACATTTGTAAACTCAATGATACGATTTTTGGAATGTAAATTGGCTCTTGCCTTTAGGTAAGATGATGAATCTTTTGACTGCCATTAAAAATTTAAATACATTTTTTACTTAGAACCAGACTTGTGCGGCATTCTTATCGGCTATATTTTAAGAATCAAAACTACTATAGAGTTTCGAATTTAGATAGCCGCATTGAAAACGCAGATCATAGGTAAGTTAAAAATAAATATATTAATACTAGTATTTACCTTCTCTGAAAATTCTTTAAAATTAAAAAATATTGCAGTAAAAAAGTTCAATGAATTTCAAAATTTTTAGTGTTATACTGGTTTATCTTTTAATGTTATACACTTTTAAAATGTTTTGTCTTAATTTGTCAGATTTAGTAAATTGTAAAAGGGGAAAGATTCAATTATCATCAGAACTTTCGCCGCTTCTGGACGTGCATTTCAATAGATCTTCGGTCTTCCCATTTCCGCGCAATAAAGTTGGTACCGCGGCATTAAATTCACTATAGATTTGTAAATCTACGTAAAACAAATTTATACACAAGTCTATTCGGACTATACGGACAATTGTTTCTGAAATTTAATTATTTGCGGCTCAAAGTTTTTTTGTTTTTTGCTTGATACATTGCTGTATAAATGCATTAATCTGAATCAAGTGGTACAACGGCCTACATAAGGGTCCGCAAGATTATCAGAGGATGTTTTCTTACCACTCGGGCCTCCTCGAGACGTGTTTTCCATTTGCTATAGCTGTAACAGATACTTGGCCTAATACACCAAACAGAAAATTCTCGTTCAAAACTACTCTAGCTACCATTTTGATCGTTCCTCTTTTGCTGGTGGTGTTCTCATTGTTGTAAAAAATAAATTTTTCTTCGAGTTGATTACGTGTTATAACACACCTGAAATCGAATTTGTTGCGGGTTACATGATATTGCTGACATGCTGACATAAAACGTCCCGATATCGCTCCCTGAGGATTCACACCCTCCCCACGGTTTCAGTATAAGGGTCTACTGACTCTTCTCCAGAAGCTAATGGTCAAAATGGTCCAGCAAAACAGAAGTGTTTAAAAAAAACTTATTTCAATAGTATCAGATAGTTTTCCATATTGACTAGAATTTTCTTCAGTTTCAGTGACATTAAAAATCCTACTAAAGCTTTTTATGAAGTTTTTGTAAAATTTACCATTAATAACGTTTTTCCTGAATTTTCGTCCACAATGTTATATAAGTCACCTTGATTTACTACAGAAACAGGTTTACAAGGATAAAAACAAAAAGTCTAGGTTATAAAAAAGTTTTTAAAATTATTTTTATATTGTCAATTGTTTTGAATATATGTCCATCCGTAAACACTTTATCGACCTAAGCATTCTGTGCTACAAATTCTATTAGTCGATACCAGAATTAAAGCTTTTTTTTTTTAACATTGGTTTTATTTCTTGAATTTCTCTTTGCGAGACTAACAAGAGGTGTATCAAATCACCACCCGGTGCGCTGCAGTATTCTCGCTGTTCGAAGGCTGAGCGTATTTCGGATATTAATCTGTTCTTCGGAAGCCAAAATGGTGTGCCGGGATCTTTAAAATCTTTAAAGCCATTTTTTTTCTTTGTTATATATATAATAAAAATATATAATGTTTTACTTTTTAGGCTAAAAAACTATTTTTATATATCGACCGACCCATGTATCGCCCGATACATGTCCGATGTATCCACTTTAAACTTAGGTCACAATTTTATTCTTTGCACGAACGATACAATTCGGAACGGCCGGGATCGGCCGACTCTAACCTATAGCTGTCAAATAACTTTAACTGTCATATAACTATAACTGTCTGTTATAGGATAACTCCAGGGGTTTGAGTTTTGTTTGGTTTTTATTTCGAAGGAGCAGCTGAGGTGCCGCTCCAACGATCAAAATGTCTCTATTCTTTTACAATATTTTTTAAGTCTAAGTAAGGCTAAGTCTCGTAGCTGCGCTGCTCGCAGGCGGCGGCAGAGAGACGGCTATGTACTTATGTATAAAGGAATATAATAATATACGTTGTTATGCGCTCTCAAGTGGAGGCGCGAGGGGTATGCTGACACTAGAACTTTCTGTGTTCGGGCTAAGCCATAACGATCGGTTCATATTTCGGCCACTTAGGGTTTATGACCGGGACTTTGGATTATGTAAACACTGCAACAAAGTGTTACAGTGCGCACCCTTAAGGTACTCTCGGTACAGTGGGTATTAAATATATGTGCATACTACATCTCCCTCCTTTTAAAAAAATTACGTAATATAATGAAGTTATTTTTATAATAAAAATTTCTAATTAATACATCTTTTTTTTTTTTATTTTTTGTTGTTTTATGTTGTTAGAATCAAAGAAAATGAAATTATTAAAAGAATATGTGTATTTTTTTATCTATGTATGTATGTGTGTCTTTGTATGGCCATACTAAGTGCAATTTATGAAATAAAAATTTGTAATCTATCCTTATGAACTGTTTGTTTCTTACGTTTATTATTTGTTATTACTATGTTATCTCTATCTTGTATTTCCGTTACTATATACGGACCTATATATTTAGGATCTAACTTATGACCTGTCTCGTTTTTTAATAAAACTTTGTCACCTACTGATATATCTATATCCCTTACTTTATGATCGTATAGTAGTTTACTTCTATTCTTAATTGCTTCTAACATAACTCCAGCTCTTTTAAAGGCTACTTCTAATCTATACTTACTCTCCTTAGCATAGTCATCTATATTATATCTATATCATATAGTGCTATAGTGCATAGATATGTAAGATCGTATGTATTCATTGAAAGTTCTATGACTACTTTCTATTGTTTCAACTGTCTGGTGGTGGTGTGCTGTGGATGTAATATTTTCAATATTTAAATATTTGCACAAATCGTCTATATTTGAATTCTTATATTCTGTTCCCATGTCCGTAATGAACGTCGTCATTGGACCGTACTCCAGGATAAAAGATTCAAATATTGCTTCAGCGACAGTATTAAAATTTTTATTCGGAACAGGTATGGCAACTTAATACTTAGTTAAATCACATATTAAAGTGACTGCATACTCATTGCCATTTTCTGGTTTTGGCAGTGGACCGATAGTGTCCCTATCACTCTGTCGAAAGCATTTATTGGTGTGTCTGTAATTGTTAAAGGGGTGATTAGTTATTTTGGATTTCTGGCATTTTTGACATTTTCTTACGAACTCAGTTATATCTTTAGACATGCTTTTCTAGTAATAGTGTCTTTTTACTTTGGCCAAAGTTTTTGATATGCCAGTATGACCTCCTTGAATTGGATCATCATGAAATGTAGACAAAATTGCTTCTTTTTCTTTTAAATTTGTTATTTGGGTCACCGGGTTGAGTAGCGCTACTCTTAATATTTTCAATATTTTATTGCCCATTAATTTAAATTTATCTATTGAATTATATTCAAAGATATTTTTCCACGGTGCCACTTTGAGTTGGCTGATTATATATTTATACCGGCTTGCATTTCAAGCCTTTGGAAAAATTGATCTAAATCAATAACTCCATTAGTATATAAATCTCTAACATCATATCTTGCAGTAATTTTTCTGCCTTGTTTAAATAAACATAACATATTTTTTATCTGCAAGGTCACTACTTTCACTAGAAGCTTTATTCAACGTTTGCATTGGCAATTCTTGTTCTTGATTTTCCGCGTGGAATTTTTGTCTACTTTGATATCTAGTAGTGACTTTTTAATATATTTCTAGTTGTATTTTGTAGATCTTTGATGGTTATCCTTAATAACGCATCAGCTACATGATTATCTTTTCCCTTTAAATATTCGACTGTAAAGTCGTATTCTTCTAGTTCGAGCCTCATACGTGTCAGTTTAGAACTGGGATTGGTCATTGAGAAAAGGTATATTAAAGGTCTATGGTCTGTTCTTATTAAGAAATGTGTTCCATATATATGTTGTCTGAAATGTAATATCGCCCAGTGAATTGCAGCTAATTCCTGCTCAGTAGTACATTTGTTACTTTCACCTTTTGTAAATGCTCTTGATGCGTATGCAATGGGAAGTTGGAGACCATTATGATTTTGAGTTAAAACCGCTCCAAATGCTTGCTTACTTGCATCTGTTATTTTACAGAATTCTTTAGTGAAATCTGGATATTGTAGCAAGGTAGGTTCCATAAGTTTTGTTTTTAAATATTGAAATGCACACTCATCCGTCCATTTAAAAGGAACATTCTTTTTACATAATCTTGTTATATGCCGTGAATAGTCGGCGAAATTTTGTGGCGAAATGCTACGAAACGTCTAGCACTGTCCGCGTCGTGCGGAACTGGGTAGTTCATAATGACATCGTATTTCTTGTCATCTGGAAGTATTCCTTTATCAGTGCATTTATGACCTAGAAAAGTCACTTCATTCATAAAAAATGAACATTTTTCTGGATGTAGCTTTAGGTTGAATTTCCTACATTTCTCAAAAACATCTGTTAAGTTTTTAAGCATATGTTTTTCGGAACAACCGATTACTATTAAGTCATCCATATAAAGAAACGCTTGAGAAGGTTCTAGACCAGAGAACGCAATAGTCATCATACTCTGAAACAAATTAGGAGCTATTTTTAATCTGAAGGGTAATCGCTTGAAGCGATATGAGCCGTTGCTCGTTGAAAAAGACGTTATATCTCTTGAACCTTTTTCTAGTTAAATTTGATGGAATCCTGACATTAAGTCAAGACATGAAAAGTATTTTGCTCGACCTAGTTGATCTAAAATATCATCAATTCTAGGTAATGGGAATTTTTCAGATAGTAATTTTTTATTATTCTGTCGATAGTCAATTACTAATCACCATTTCTTTGCATTTGATCCGGGGGATGATTTCTTAGGAACAAGTAACAATGGGCTATTATATTCGGATACTGACGGTTCGACAATCCCGTCTGAGATTAATTTGTATACCCTTGCAGAGGGTATTATAATTTTGTCCATAAGTGTGCAACGCAGTGAAGGAGACATCTCCGACCCTATAAAGTATATATATTCTTGATCAGAATCACCTCCTGAGTTGATATGAGCATGTCCGTCTGTCCGTCTGTCCGTCTGACCGTCTGTCCGTCTGTCTGTTTCTACGCAAACTAGTCTCTCAGTTTTAAAGCTATCGACTTGAAACTTTGCACACACCCTTCTTT